ATTTAATCACAATCCGTTTATCAAAATTAATCCTCAATTACATAGATTACCTAGGCCGGGTTTCATCCCGAAACCCTAGCTAGGAGACTACTCACACATATTCATAATCAAAGCAATAATGAATTCCAAAAGAATAATAGATATAAACATGAATTCTGATTAAGGAATAATAAAGATTGTATTGATGCGAATCAATGGAAAAGTTCAGAACTTTGATATCCGTCGTCAATGAATAATACAAAGAACCTTCGCAAATCTTGCTTCAAATCAATCCAAGAAAACTAAAATCTCTAGGAAATTCTCTAAGAAAACTAATGAATCTCTAATACTAAGAACGTTCTCCAATAACTCTCTACAAAGGCTCTCAAAACTATCTCTAAAACTGTCCTTGAATCCTCTTAAAGTCGGGCCTTATATACGTCTTCTAATTCAGAGAAGTCAAGCGCGCAGTTAACCCTAGATCAGCACGGCCGTGCTGCATTTGGCACGGCCGTGCTAGCTTGTCAGTAAGTAAACCGGGTTTCTTCTTCAAATTAGCACGGCCGTGCTATATATGGCACGGCCGTGCTAAAAATGACACGGCCGTACTGAATATGCTCTAGCACGGGGCTCATACTGAAGCTGACACGGGCACGGGCAACATCTGGCACGGCCGTGCTAATGGCCTGCACGGCCGTGCGGGTGCGTGGATACTGACACGGCCGTGCTATTGGCTTGCACGGTCGTGCTGCCTTGCCTGGGGTTGCTTGCTTATAGGCCAGCACGGGTGTGCCTATGGTAACACGGCCGTGCTGCCCGTGCTATGTAATCAATGCACGGCACTTGAACTTCCTTAACTCCTCGGACTCCGGTCAAGGCTAGCTCGGTTACGCATCAAGGGCTCGGGATCCGATTAAACTCGGTTGATATTACCTGAAAACACATCAAAAACAAACCGAAAACCCGTGAAGCACGTAATATGGGGAACGTAAGCATAACAAGGTAATAATCGGCCAAAGCGGCCCCAAATACATCCAAAATCATCCTAAAATATGCTCTAAAGCGCGCCCTAAAGTGCGCTTGTCAGTAGTCACCTAGCCAAGGGTGTGGGGATGGTGTAGTTGCTAATTGTTCATGCTTATAATGTTGGGTTTATGTTAATGGTGATTATTAAAGTCTTTGCATGCTTGATATTCTTTGATCTTCTTGCAAGTGCACATTGTTAGTTGATTAAAGGTGAATCTTTGCTAACAAGGAACGGAAGTTGACTTAGTTGAGATTCATTACTATCGATAGTTTTTTTATTGCACCTTCTAATATATGGTTCTAGTGTGGAAACATAGAGGCTATGTTAGGAGAAACCGATTAACCCCAAAAGGCGGTTAGATTGGGCCTTACTTCGATATTCATGCATTTTTAGTTTACCATTGATTTGCTACTTTGTTATTGCATGATCAAGCGGCATCTAAATCTACCCATTTCCCTTGGTGCTTAGTTATATTGATTTTAATCCATTTCGTTCTTAGTTTGATCTCTTAGTTATTCACACTTCTTGTTCCGAGATAGCTTAGACTCTAAGTAATGAATGCGGTGTTTATGCATTTCTCCCTGTGGTTCGACCCCTCTACTTGCCCTATACTCGTAATAGGTTGAGTCGAGTGTTATAAATTGTATTTGACTTAGGTGTAGTTGTTTGACGACGCAATTATTCCTTTATCAGCAGGCTGCGGTTAGCAGCAGCAGTCGTAGCATGGCTGCGACAGCAGCTGTGCAACTCTTGCACGCTGCTTTCGAGCCACCTGCCAGACCACCCGCAGTCCCTCCCTTCCTCTGGACTGACCCCCAGGTCGGCAACTGCAGTGACTGTGCCACCCAGCCGCGGCTACCAGCCTTAAATATTTTTTTTTTTGGTTTTTAAATTAATTAAAATAACATTTATAAAAATTAAAATAAATTAAATCAGTCCACTAATTAAAAATTAAATCATCATTTAATATTAAAATTAGGGTTCATCACAAAATTAATCCCAATTTAATTCTAACTCTTAAAATTAAATTGATGATCATACATAAAACATTTTTATGCATAAACAATCCGATTAAAATTATGAAACATATAACAATTCGAAATAAATCAAAATTAAGCACAAAAATCATATTTTAGGGCTATCAGTTTCGAAAAATTCAAAAATTAGGGTAAAGGTTTTTTCGAAAAATTCGAAACTAGGGTTCTAGGGTTCGAAATTTTCGAATGCTCTAGGGCTTAATTCGATCCTCTTCATGGCTATTTTGAGCATAATTAAATCATATTCAATCAATTCCAAAAATTTAATCACATTAAAATAATAATTGAACCATAATTAAATTAATTTCTCCCTCTTAATTGATTATAAAATTAACATGGACTTCAAGTAATCGTATTATTATAATCTAGCGCGTTCATGAAAGAGGCTAATTGATACCACTGTAGGAGTTTATAAGTACTACAATGCTGAAAAACTTGATTCATATTCATAAAGCACCTAATCCCAAGATCACATGCATAACACAAAAGGAACATAATTATACCTTTGAAGCGTGAATTCCACAAAGCTATTTGACATGCAAATCAGGGAGAGAATAGAGCTCCAAGCGTTGCTCCTCTACTTGTTCCACGGGATTCGAATTAGCCGTCCAATAATACTAGATTGGTCGAGTGATAGGAAGAACCGCGATCACCACCTTTACTGGACAACCGACCACCACACGAACCACCACCACCTTAAACCACCACTAGCGCCGAGGAGGAGGGGAGAGCCGTGAGAGAAAGAGGAGTTTGAGAAGGTTGGCTTCGTGTTTGCTAATTCGAGTTTGATCAAACTGATCACTGAACTCAATATGTGAAAACCCTAGGCACTTAGTCTATTTATAATCCCATTATAATTAGACTAAGTCACGAAGCCCAAAAACCCCTTTAATCCTCACTATGGCCGGCCACCTAGAGTGATGAGTCCCATGATGGGCCTCGTCCTCTAATTCTCAATCTATGCCCTTTGTGTGACCTTATAGGATCGGTCCAATTGGGCTTTGGCCTATTTTACTAGCCTAAAGATTGTTAGTACCTCTAGCTATGATATAACGACGACCCAAATGTACGAACTTAATTATCTCCATAATTTGGTCCATTTATATATCTAGTAATTGCATACGACGAAGACATAATTCCTTCATTTACATCTCTTTTTACTCCTTTTTCTTTAGCTTCACTTGTAATTTCTCTATTTTGCATTTTCTTTAGTTGTTTCCTTATTTTCTTGCTTTCTTAGTTTATTTTGCATTTTCTCCTTCACATATTTGCTTTTCTTTGATTTTAGGAATATGGTGATGTTCAAGAAGCTCAATGGCGTTCTCTCAAGGCATACCAGGCTTAGGATGCATCCCAGTTCTTCCTCTTGAAGCTCAAAGGTGTTGGAGTGCAAGAGTCAAGTCTTCAAGGCCGGCTCTCATGCCTCGTGGACATTAAAGACGGTGTTGAACCCACCGTAAAGGCCTCAAGTGACTACCTCCACAACATGCATCATGTGGAACGCACGAGAGCATCATCGAGCGCACGAAGAAAATTTCCCCTGCTCCCAAGTGCGGCCGTGCGCGAGGGAGGAGCGGCCGCGCAGATGCCACGAGCGTCCGCGCAACTCTCTCTCCCCTATTCCGTGCCCATTTTGTTGCGGACGCACTTAGGGATGAGAGGCCGCACTAATTGAGGTTTCTTTTGGACGTCTAACTAACTTCTCCTTAATTATGTTTACTATATATAGAATTCCTTCATTTATAGAGAGAGAATTACATTAGTTTACATTAGAATTGAATTAGACTTAGAATTTTAGAGAGAGAAGCTCTTGATTTTGGAGACTTGTTCTTAGATTGTAGAGAGAGAAACTTGGTGATGTTGATGAATGCTACTTTCAATCTTCTTCCTCTTTGGTTTTGATAACAGTTTTGTAAGAATTCTTTACTCTTTAATGCAATTTCATGTTTGATTCTTGATTTTGATTGAATTACTTGTTATTTGTTTGATTTGATTTTTGATAAGTTTGAGCATATTTTGATTACTATGTTGATGATTAAATTTGTGATTAGATTAGTTTTGTTGTTCAAATTTACAATGTGTAGTGAGTAGATTACTTGTTAGGGATAGGGTGAAGCATGTATGAGTGATAATTCATGATTAATTGGGGGATTTTGATTGATCATCATTGTGATAAATTGGTTGGTGAAATTTGTGCATGTGTTTGATATCTCGAGGAGTGATCAACCTTAATTATCATGCTAGATTGCATAATAGGTTTCAATGACACGAAAAATTGATTTAGAAGCTATTATTATCGATTAATCTTAATTTGCGATTTTCCTTTGAAGTTATTTGTAGAGACATCTAGCTTGACCCTAGGAAATAGCTCTTTGAGTGATTTTGATTACATTTGTTGCTTTCCCTCGCATTGGTATGTTTGATCGATTTCTTTCCAAATTAGTGCGATTATCATGAGTGCATGTAGATCCCGACTCCCTAGCATCCTTTTATATCATTCTTGTATTCGTTTAATTGCGCCGTTAGGTTTGCTAGACCAACCCTCATTTAGGCTTCGGCATAGCTTAGCTTGAAACCTTAGTAAATACCACATTCCCTTGGGTTTGACCCGAATTTATCCCTATACCTAGGGTTGGGTTTGGTTCTATAAATTTTGTTTTGATCAGGAAACTTAGTTACCAACGACCTAGTTTTATCCCTTACCTTAACACACCGAGCTTAAGCATCCGGCTTATGAAAATCATTTAAAGATTTCCAAATATATATTATCGGCAATGTTTGCTCCATTTGGCTTGAGAAGATGTCTAGAAGTGCACTTGGAAAATGCAATCTTGCTAAAGAGCATTATTTGGACTAGTAGCCCAGTAACCCATATTATGGCAAGAGGAAGAAAGCAAAAGAGCATCATTTGGCTTCGTTCTCTCTATTCCTCGCAACAATAATACTAGACTAGTAACTGAGAAGAACAAAGAACTGCGGATCTGATCTGGAATATATTGCATTTTAGATCCAACACAGAATAGATACATGAATATGCGGTCTAGAAATTGCCTTAGAATGACCACAATATGTAAACTACAGCACGTCATCAAAGGATTATGCAGGTGATTTTTCTATCATAAATGCATAAGAAACAGTTGGTGTAAACATGTTCTAGTTGCCTAGTAAAATCTAATAATATACGCAACAATTTTCAGTATGTCTCAGATTTTATCAATCAATTCAGCAAGCCATCAAATTCCACCATTTTCGAGAATTGACAGGAGTAATCTGCGAGTAGAGTGAATTAAGAACTTGCAAAATTACCCTCATCAATGGGAGGATGCACAAATATTCATCAGATGTTCAATCAATCACCAAGTCGGAACTTGCAATCTGCACAGATCATTGTGTCAGACAGTGGAGGCTGCAGAAGCTCTTGACGGACTGGAAGCAGTAATCTACAAAATTGTCTTCTTCAACCCCAACTGGCACCAATCAAGTGTTTCATATTGGGATCATCTTCAATGCAGCAGAAATTGGCATGCCAAGAAACCCAAATAATATGCTCACAAACCACTGGCTAGGAGTAAGTGGAGTTGTGTTTGCAAATGCACCAAGGAACTCAATAATTACAACTTGAAAAAGAGCTGTGGCAGTGAGAACAGTCACAAATACATAGTTGTTCAGAATCCCCGCAAATACATTAATCTTCTCCATCTCCCTGGAGCTGATTTCATTGAAAACCTGAAAGAGAAGATTTTGCTATAAGCTGACTAGATCATATATTTGGAAAAAATGAGAGATGCTATCTTCATTCTTTACCTTTACCAATTTTTGAATTGTGTATGAAGAAGATACATTCAAACCAATGAAAAGCATTGTGTAAGATCAGATATATATAATACCTGGCAGAAGACGAATGAGTTGAAAATAAGTGTGTTCAATGTTAAATCAGAACCAAGTCCACTGAGTCCAAAAGCTGACTTTCCTCTAGCCTGTAGAAACCATATAACAACAAATTGATAAATTGCTTGCCCCAGTATATTCCTCCACATCACATTACTGATAATGCTTCCTTTTCTTCCAACAGGTTTCCGCTTCATCAACTCATCACTGGGAGGCTCAGTAGCCAGTGCAAGGGCACCAAGGGTGTCCATAATCATGTTAACCCATAAAAGCTGAACAGCAGTAAGTGGAGCACTTCCTGGAAATAAATAAATAATTAATTAAGCAGAAAGCATAGTTACGATGGAAATATTTGTTGTTGGGTTCATCTGATGTTGACCATTTATTACCATGCATTGGAAATTGCTAATGAAATAATAAATATTTAACAAGGTCAAACCATGCATATGGAAAGTACATGTATGACTGTATGATATGTGCTATGAAGGCATGTGTACAAGTTACTTAAAGTTCATGCTTGGGGTGATGGGGAGATAACATCTGTGGATAACTGAGGATATAGTTGGTATTACTGTTTCAAGATAGCTTGATGGCTATAAAAGACCTGGAATTATCTTGCATTTGAGAGGACAATGGAGTGAGGGCAAGAGAACATATTTTATGAGGGTGACTAGACCAGAGTGCTTGTGCTTCTAACCTTATCTTTTGAGGTCAAGAAAGGTTTGTATATCAATCTTTAGGCTGTGAGTGTTTACCAGGGAGTTGAAGGTTGGATAGAACCTCTTAAGCTATGTTTCTTGAAGTACTCCTCACATGGAGAATATTTTAAATCACGGTGTGGAGTTGTGAACGTTGTTCAATTAACTAAATCAAGTTAAATATTCCAATTTCATCTATGTACTTGTATATCTTGTAAAAGTTCCAAACTGGGTTTTTGGTTGCCCAAAATGTTTACAACTTCGAATATGGCCTACGGAAATTCTGATTCTCTGTGACTGGGGTTCACAGGCTTACCGGTCAAACAGGCTGAAGAAAAGTTGACAATAAGGGCAACAATATTGACTGTCAACTGGAACTGTACAAATTTCTGAATGTTCGTATACACAGAGCGTCCCCATCTAGCCACAGTTACAATTGTAGAAAAATTGTCATCCAAAATTATGACATCAGCACTCTCCTTTGCTACCTGAAATCAAACAGTTAAAGGTAATTATGATATTAAGAGCCAGCAGTGTACAAAATAATCTTCTTCATAGAACATCAATACAGATCAGAACTGAGAATTCATCGATGCACATATGCTCCATTTTCTAGAAGACAAAGAACATTGAATAATTTAGTAACTATCTTGCTAAGTCAACTATGAGAGCAGATTCTAGCATAAAATGGAACATGCATCTTAAAAGTAAGATCCATACAGGAAAAAATAGAAGAAATCACAGGTAAAATTGTTTAAAGCAGAAACTGCTAATTTGGTAGAAAGGAAATGGATGGAAAAGCATAACATTGGAGTGGAAGTATAGACTCAGTTATATATCTCACTATTATACGATTTTACCCTCAAATTAGAGATTTGGATAGAAAGAATGTTTATGACATACAATCCTTTCATTTCCTTCAAATCTTTTTTAGAAAAACCCCAAGGAAACCTTCTAGTTCATACCAATCAAACCAAAGGCTAAGTTCCTTTATTATTTTTTTTTCCTTATCAATCAACAAATAAATCCAAATACATGGCCGATATCCAGAGAACAATGACGATTTACAGATATACTGAAATTTTCCATGAACCTAACTCAAGGACAAGATTTTTTCTGGAATTTTTGTAGACTTACATCACTTAATGTACTAGCTGTTCTCTAAACTCTCAACTTTTTCCAAGAGACTTTAAAATAGACACCCTTATGCTTGACCTTGGTTAGCAGTGCAAATTGCATGCAATAATGTGAATTTTGACCACATCCTAGAATTTATATTGACTTGACAGATTTCTGAAAAATCATTATACATACAAACTCGACATAGCTATTATATTTCCAAGTGTCAAAAACTCAAACTTAGCTATTTTAAGAGATGGTTTCAAATTTTGATCTGTGATGAAGGATGAAATGTCCATAAAAATGTTGGGAGTGTTGAGAATCTGACACACGCACTTAAAGCGTGACAAGGAGCTAAAGACTACTCACCATAATCCTAGGTGGGGAACTTTTGGAGATGATCATGACATAGCATTAATACAAATGATTATTCAATAGTACAGAGTAGTAAAATATGGTCGTACTAGTTTAATTGGTAGAAAACAATTTCAAATTTATAACTCCGTTTTAAACACTTACATAGACAAAATGTTAAAAGGCAAGTTAAGACTTTTTACCTTGGTAGTGTAAACTCATTTTACACGTGCTTATCCGCACAAAATACATAAAAAAAAATATATTTTATGAACTTTGGAAAATTTTATAAGCAAAAGACTTGAAAAGAAGGATACCTCGGTTCCAGAGATTCCCATAGCAAGGCCTATATCTGCTTCATGAAGGGCAGGAGCATCATTTGTACCATCTCCAGTCACTGCGACAACTTCTCCAAGGGTGGTCCGCAAATGTCTTACAAGGGTGTGCTTATCCATTGGAGAAGATCGAGCCATAACCTAAAAAAATGAGTTTAATCAATATACCTTTTAATTATTGAACATCCGCCCACATATTATAGAGAATGAATCAGCAAATTCATCATGGTACACAGAAGCATAGATTGGTAATACTATGTAAACTACCCAAAACAAAGCCATGTATGCTTTTACCTCACTGAAAAATAGTCGAGGCCAAAAATGCTTTTACCTCACCCAAAACAAGGCCATCTGATTCCATCCCACTTTCCCACCACACACGTCGATGAACACCACTGCCAGCACACCTCACCAATCTCACAAAAATTGCCGCTATTTTTTATGTGATTAGCGTGGGAGTTGGGTTCCGGAGGGGGGGGGGGCAGCGTTTGGCTTTCAAAAATGAGGGAGTTAGGATGAGAAGGTGGTTGTGGGTGGCAAGTGAAGGGGTAATGTTTTTTTAAAAAAAATATGTTTTTTTATAAAAAAAAAAAAAAAATTCTTTTTTTTGGGTTAATTTTTTAATTACCACCAAAAAATGTAACCATTTTCGAAATAACCACCCGTTTAATTTTTTATTTTAAATTATTACCCCTTTAATTAAATAAATGCTCAGATTACCACCCATTTCAAAAATCCGACGGATATTCCGTCTGTAGGCCCCTCCTAACACTTATTTTGACTCTTTTACCCAATTTTTCTCTTTAAAAACGCTATCTAAACTTTAATTCACATTTCCTTCACCAAATTCTACCAAATTTCAAAGAGAAATGTGAATTCAAGTTATGAGAGCTTTTTTAAAGAAAAAAATTAGGGAACAAATCAGTCAAAAAGTTCAAAAAAAGCGTTAGGTAGGGCCCACAGACGGAAAATCCATCGGATTTTTAAAATGGGTGGTAATATGAGCATTTATTTAATTTAAGGGGTGGTAATTTAAAATAAAAAATTAAACGGGTGGTTAGATCGAAAATGGTTACATTTTTTGGTGGTAATTTAAGATTTTTCCTTTATTAAAAAAAATGTAAAAAAAAAAAAATTAACCTATCGTAACACGACACGTGTTCGGTTTTAACCTATTAAACAAGTTGTTGGTTTTTTATTCTATTTTGAGCAGATGTGTAAAAGGTCGTTTTATTTTTGGAAGATCGGCCAAAGGTTGTTTTATTCTTGACAATTTTTCCCCACAAAAAACCCCAAAATATGTTGTCGTAATATTTTCAATAGTAAAGAAAATCATGTTAAGGTTTGTCACGGTTTGTGTTCAAGTGCCCATGCATGACAAAAAACTGGACACAAATTTTTCATGTGTCTCATGTGTGTCACTGTCGGATATCATATTCAATAGGGATATAGCAATAGGATGGTGTGTCCATGCTTTACGGGAACTAGGACACACACACACACACACACACACACACACACACACACACACACACACATATATATATATATATATATATATATATATATATATATATATATATATATAAATCAACCATAATTTCACCACAAACATTAACATCACATTTCACCATCTTTAAGAGACAAAACAATGAGTTAATGTGAAGACCTAAAAAAAGATTCAATAATCACATAGGGTAAAACATTTTGGCCACAGGAATTCTGTAAGATAAAGGGTACTACAGCATAGACAAACCTGAATTTTAGGTATCAGTTCAATCAATTCTTCCAGGCTCTTCTCACGAAACTCGGGACCTTCAATAGCTATTCCATCTTCGGTTAGAATCCCACATTCTCTAGCAATTGCTTTTGCTGTACTTATGTTGTCTCCAGTTACCATCCGGACAGTAATTCCTGCTGATCTGCAGATTGCAACAGATTCCTTGACACCAGGACGGACTGGATCTTTGATGCCTACTATACCGATGCAGGTGTATCCATTTGCAGGAATAGAACCATCAGCAGAGAAACTTTCTTCTAAATCTTGATACACAAGGCATAAAGTGCGAAGAGCTTCATTAGCAAACTCTTCAATTGTGGCATTTAAATGTTCAGCTGATGATTTATCAAGGGGAACAATTACGCCATTTGAGTCAACAACATTATCACATGCAGCCAAAATAATCTCCGAGGCACCCTTACAGTGTGCCCTCAGACCTCCATTATGGATCTCTAAAATCACTCCCATTCTCTTCTTAGAGGAGTTGAATGGTTCCACTTTAACAATTTTTGATGCTTCCCGCTCTGTCATGAAGTCCCCACCAAGTAATAATCCAAATTCCAAGAGAGCAGTTTCAGTGGGACTTCCTAAGATCTCAATTTTGTTGTCTTTGGCTCTAACTACTTCTCCTCCAGTATTGTTAAAAATTGATTCTAAAAGAATTTTACGCGCAAAATCAGGAATTTCAGATACTGTATGAAAATCCTTAAAGCTGCTAGCTTCCAAAGTTTTCCCACACATGTGTGCTTTGACAACAGTCATATGATTAGTTGTAAGTGTCCCTGTTTTATCACTGCAAATAGTAGTAGCAGATCCCATTGTCTCACAAGCAGCAAGGTTTCGCACAAGAGCCTTGTCATTCATCATCTTTTTCATTGCAAAAGCAAGGCTTAAAGTGACAGCCAAGGGTAGTCCTTCAGGGACTGCAACAACAACAATTGTAACAGCAATGGCAAAGTATTCTAAAATCTCAACGGCCTCATCACCAGACAAACTCCACACAGAACCATCTTGTAACTTGTGGCTGAATAATCCTTGAACCATCACAGCAAATGTAACTACAGCGAAAAAGAGGCCAATTTTTCCAATAACAGTTGCCACTCCATTCAATTTCACCTGCAGGGGTGTTTCATCATCACCTTCTTCACTGATAGTTGCCATCAATTTACCCCATTGTGTTCTCATGCCAACAGTTGTAACAAGCATTTTCAATGACCCATCCTGAACTTTAGTCCCTGATAAAAGAAAAGGATGCTCTGAGTTCACATGAATGGGTTCACTCTCTCCTGTCAAACTTGATTCATCAATTACAGCAGAATATCCTGAAACGAAAAGTCCATCAGCTGGGACCTGATCTCCGATGGCCAGATGAACAAAATCCCCAGGCAGTAGGTCATATATTGATAGTTTTTGTCTACAACCATCTCTGGTAACCTGAACTGCTATTTTCTTTTTCTCTTTGTCCAAATCCTTAAACTGCAATGACTGCCTATAATCACTGGTCGCAGTTACAATTACAACTAACAAAATGCTAGCCACGATTCCAATCCCATCATGGGCTCCCTTTGGCCAACCTTCCATTATCAGGCCAACCAACAAAGAAACAACTGCACAAACTCCAAGTATCATGAGAGTCATGTCTTGAAGAGCTTCCCACACAAAAACTAAGAAACCCTTAGGTGGACTTTCAATGAATCTATTGACACCATAAATTTTCTTCCTTTGGTTCACCAGATCCTCAGCAATAGATATTCCATTCACGGTAGAGGTAGAGAGCTTTTTAATGATTCCCTCAACCCCACCATGATCTTTCAGCTTCTTCTTGTTGCGATACTCTACAATGGATCCCAACTCATCAGCACAAATCTCAAACCCAGCTGATTTGACTTCCTCAGGTGGAGAGTATGATACACCTGCCAATTATGAACAGATAATTAAGGTCAATGAAGTGTCAAACAATGTCAAAGAAAGTCTCTTGCTAAATTTGTAATGAAAACTATTAAGCTGATAAATACCCTGTATAAACTGAAGAGCAGCTTGTGAGACTAACAGTGCAACTCTCAATTTCTCCTGCACGGCTCAAGATGAGTAAAAAGGAACAAATTAGCTCAATTAGTAGCACAATAAATAAATTAGATAAAAAATTTAAACCTACAGTTGAACAAAACTTTATGGTTGTTTCTTGGTTTAACAGTTTGCCTAATAAAGTTTAGGTACGATCACCATGATGGCCGTCAAAAACGTCTCACATTTGGCTATCTTGATTTTATACACTTACAGATATATTCCAACACAATCTTTATCCCTAACTTTAAAGATCATTAGGATAAGTTTAAATTTCTACTATTACACGAATAATGTTATCAAGTACATGGTATTTAATGGAAAATTTATTTTAAAAAAATTAGCATCCTCACTTTTTCAAAATTGGATACACTTTCCAAAATTGTGACACAATTATAAAAAGCAAGGTATTATTAATCATTGAAGAAAATTAAAAATAATCACTTTATCTTCCTTTTTCTTTGATAATTTCCTTTTTCGGTTCTCATGCTATCTCCTTCCTACTTCAACTTTTCCCTTTCAAATTTTAGGTTATTTCCTTACAGTGCCCCTTTTTTTTATTATAAATAAAATATAAATGTCACTGTGTAATAAGTTGTTGGATAAATTACAAATTTCTGTGTAAGTAATTTCATCTTTTAATAACTTTTTCTAACATACAATTAAGTAATTAATGGTCAAAGTTGTGTCTTGACACATAAGTGATACATTTAAATGAAAACAAAGATAGCATGACTTTTATGTTTTTACTATATAGGTTTCACTTTCCTACCAAAATTCCACACTTATCCGAGGATAAAGGCAAATTGACTTGTCAATCTACTTATCAAAGAACAAGAATAGTGTGTCATTTAGGATTCGAGGAGCAAATCTCTGTCCCTCTTGTGATCCATTTCTCTACAATGGAGTATACTACTTAACATGCGCCAACCTATTATTCAACACAACTCGTTATAAGAAAGTGGGAATGCAATGTCTAAAGGACAGAAGCACAAAGCAACATCTTTTATATACAGCTAGGTGAAAATAGAGCAAGGTGCACCCAAAGGTTGGTTTTTTGTTCAATTGATATATTTTTTTTTAATGAGTAAAAATTATTAAATAAATAGAAAATTATTTTGGGTGCACCTTAGAGTATCTCCAATGGTTTAATTGTAAGGATTTGCTTGCAATTAAAATAAAATATCTAGCTACATACTTACCATTGGAGAACAAAAAATTGAGCAACATGCAAGCTACTGTAGTCCAAACAAACTCTATTCATATGGTTACATGTGTACAATTATTTATTTTAAAAAAAAAAAATTATTTTATGCAAATTACAAGATGTTGCAGCTTATTATTGGAATACTATATTGCTAAAAAGTGTTGTAGCTTAAATATTGATTTGGAAAAGCAAGCTACAAAGCCTTGTAGCTTGTCATTGAAGATACTCTTATACTCGAGTGTATACATCTATTTTTTTTTTTTTTTAAAAGAAGACAGAGGGAAAAAGTGTTACTTTTATATCCTCCAAAATTAGGATGCTATGCAGGACAAGGGTAGTACTATGCTATACTGTTGGCTTATTGGGTTCTACTACCTCCGTTTCTATAGATCCCATTTGCATAAGTTTTGATGCATTTTTTGAGTCTTGATATATATAAATTCATATTAGACCAAAAAAAAAAAAATTGATACGAGTACATGAAACCACTACAAATCAAATAATATCCCCATAATTTACCTTAGTTATTTATCCATATAGTATTATATTCACAGTACTCTTATGTTCAGTTTTTGGAATCTATAAAGATCCTATACTCAAACATCAATACGTCATTGTGATCCACATATATATATATATATATATATATATATATGTATATGTATATATATGTATATATATGTATATATGTATATATATATATGTATATATATATGTATATATATATGTATATATATATATGTATATATATATATGTATATATATATGTATATATATATATGTATATATATATGTATATATAGATGACTATTATCCCATGTACTATCTAGAATACTCTATAGTTGGGTATTTGGTCTTATCCATCGATGAAACCCTAGGTAATGTACATGTATATATATCCCGTACTAAATAGAATATGAAATATAACGTAACAATCTTCCCTCATCTCTCTATATTTTCTCTTCCATATTTAACACGTTATCAGCACCATACTCTAAACGAAACTATTACATTAACCACTCCGTAAGTATAGTAGCCAAGAAAAAAATTCCAAAGGTACTCATTGTTACACTTACGAGCCCCTTGTATATAAAACTATAGTATAATGTTAATTTGATATTGTGGTTTGCTTCTGACATGTATCATATGATGCTAGGAATTGTTTTATATCATGATGTCATTGTCTTTGATAAAATTTATCATCATTAGCTTCATAGTTCTTATATGTCAGTAGTATATAGTGTTTACTCTTGGAATTGACGACCATTTTCATGACTTTGGGTGTTTAAGCATATGATTCATGAATATATTATTCTCATACATACTTTTTCCTAGATAATTCTCTATCCAATATTGATATATGAAATTATAAGTTTTGCTATAATTGTGTTAATATGATATTTCGGTACAACTTTTATATGTATGCATAAAATTGAATTTTGCTATAATTGTGTTATTCGAATATATTTGTACAAGTTTCATAATATACAGTAGTATGTTATCTTATTATTTCATGCTTTTATCCTTATTTTTAAGTATTATCCTTATTTTATTTGTATACACTTTTATTATCAACCATTATATTTTGATATGTATATGTTTGATATTTTATGAGATCTAATTTTGAACAATATTTTGTATAGTGAAAAATGTTGAACCTTGCCAAGCTTGAATTTGTGGCCCTTGATATTATTTATCATGGGTGTTAGATGCTGAAATACACCTAGATGCTAAAGGGCATGGTGAAACAATCAAAGAGGCTAATAAGGAAACACCTCAAGATAAGGCTAAAGCCATGATTTTCCTTCACCATCACTTCCATGAAGGGCTCAAAAATGAATATTTAACTATGAAAGACCCACAAATCCTTTGGATTAATCTAAAGGAAAGGTATGATCACCAAAAAAAACAGTGATACTCCCTAGAGCTTGTTATGAATGGTTGAATTTGAGAATGCAAGATTTTAAATCTGTTAGTGAATATAACTCAGCTATGTTTAAAATAACTTCCCAATTGAAATTATGTAAAGAAAATATTACTGATACAGACATGCTTGAAAAGACATACTATAGAAAAAAGGGTTTTAAAAAATATTCTGAATTAATATCTTGTCCTTCTTGTGGCTGAACAAAATAACGAGCTGTAAATGAAAAATCATGAATCACGTCCTACTGGCTCTACCCATTCCCTGAAACGAATGTGACAACCCATAACGGGAAAGAAACTAAAAACAGAGACCATTCCAGCAGTAGTGGTTGAGGTAGAGGTAGAGGTCGTGGTCGCTGTCGTGGCCAATGGCGTGGTCGCGGTTGTGGGCGTGGTTTTAGTGGATATGGTAGAGGTCGTGGAGGTCATTTCACAAACTCACATTCCCACCAGAAGTGGCAACGTAGGGATGATAAAGAGAAAAGTGATACCAATATATGTTACCGTTGTGGAGGAAAAGGCCATTGGTCTCGGGTTTGTAGAACTCCAAAGCATCTTGTGAACTTTACAAAGAATCATTGAAGAAAGGAAAGAAAGTTGAGGCAAACCTTGTTCTTGAAGATGGTGAAGGTGATTTTGATTTTGGCAATGCAAATAATTTCGATGTTGCTAATTTCCTTACTTCCCCGAAAGGGATTAATTTTGATTTTGGCAATACAACTCATTTAGAAGTTGGTGATTTCTTCAATGCCCCGAAAGGGAATAATTTAATTTATATTATTTTGTGTCAACTTTAAGTATTACACTTTATCTAGTTATTTACTTATGTTGATTTCTATGGTTGTAATAAGGACTTCATATGCTTTATGAATTTATGAATTATTTGGGTGTTTTTATTGATTTATTTATTTTATCATTTTTATTTTTATGCTTAATATTTTGACATGTATTATATTTCATGAAGAACATGGATATTACTCAAGTTCAATTTGCTATGAATGGTGAAGAATTATGTCTTGCTGGTAGTGCAACTACTCATACAATACTAAAAAATAAAAAAAAAATTCTCTCATTTGATGATGAAAAGGATTAATATGAGTACCATATAGTGTAGTACAAATATCATTGAGGGCTCCGGAAGAGCCACTATAAAATTGTCTTGAGGAACTGAAATTAAAATAATTGATGTTTTATACTCCCCATTGTCTCAAAAAAATTTATTAAGTTTTAAGGATATTCGCAACAATGGTTATCATATTGAGACAATCAATGAAGAAAATAACGAATTCCTTCAAATCACAAATATAACTCAAGGCTCAAAACATGTTTTGGAGAAACTACCTACATTATCTAGTGGTTTGTACTACACAAAAATCAATGCTATTGAAGCTCATACTATAGTAAACAAGAAGTTTACAATAATTTTGTTGTTTGGCATGACCGGTTATGCCATCCCGGTTCAATAATGATGCAAAAAATAATACGAATTCATGTGGACATTCTTTGAAGAGCCAGCAGATTCTTCATAATAATTTTTCATTAGAAAGCAAGTTGATTATTGGCCAATCACCGGTTAAAATTAATTATTTATTTGTGGGCCCAAACATCCCCTATGTGGACCATTTAGATATTTTATGGTTTTAATTAATGCATCAACTAAATGGTCACATGTGTCTTTGTTATCAACTCGTAACCTAGCGTTTGAGAGATTACTTGCCCAATTGATTAAGTTACGGGCACATTTTCCAGATACTCCCATTAAGACTATTCGGCTTTTAATGATTATTGCATGTCCATTGGGATAAATGTTGAACATCCTGTAGCACATGTTCATACACAAAACGGTCTGGCATAGTCATTAATAAAACGTATTCAGTTAATTGCTAGACCATTGCTTATGAAATTCAATTTCTCAATTTCTGCTTGGGGACATGCTATATTACATGCAGCGGCACTAATTCGCATTAGGCCAACAAGTTATCACAAGTTCTCCCCATTACAATTGGTTTATGGTCAGGAACCAAATATTTCCCATCTAAGAATTTTTGAATGTGCGGTTTATGTTCCAATAGCTGCACCACAACGCTCTAAGATGGGTCCTCAAAGGAAGTTGGGGATATATGTTGGGTTTGAATCCCCGTCAATAATTAAATATCTTGAGCCTACAACAGGAGATTTATTTATGGCTCGTTATGCAGATTGTCATTTTAACGAGTCACTTTACCCAACATTAGGAGGAGAAAAGAGAGAAATGGGAAAGGAAATTAAATAGAATGAATTATCATTATCCTATCTTGATCCTCGAACTAAACAATGTGAACTGGAAGTTCAAAAGATAATTCATTTACAAAGTTTAGCGAATCAATTGCCTGACCCAAAAAGAGTGATCAAGTCAATGCTCCATTTAAAATAGATGTCCCGAAAGGACAAAATAAATTTGCTAATAAGTCTAAACCACGTCAGAAACGTGGAAGACTAATAGGTTCCCAAGATAAGAATCATCGAAAAAGAAAAGGAGCATTGATTGATGATGCATATTCCAGCATTAAATGCTCCATTTAAAATAGATGTCCTGTAAGGACAAAATAAATTTGCTAATGAGTCTAAACCACGTCAGAAACGTGGAAGACTAATAGGTTCCCAAGATAAGAATCCTCGAAAAAAGAAAAGGAGCATTGATTGATGATGCATATTCCAGCATTAAATGCTCCATTTAAAATAGATGTCCTGTAAGGACAAAATAAATTTGCTAATGAGTCTAAACCACGTCAGAAACGTGGAAGACCAATAGGTTCCAAAGATAAGAATCCTCGAAAAAGAAAAGGAGCATTGATTGATGATGCATATTTCAGCAGTAAATGCTCCATTTAAAATAGATGTCCCGGAAGGACAAAATAAATTTGCTAATGAGTCTAAACCACGTCAGAAACGTGAAAGACCAATAGGTTCCAAAGATTAAAATCCTCGGAAAAGAAAAGGAGCATTGATTGATGATGGTCAAATTGAAGAAACAATTTCCGAAGGATCTCCAGAAGAGACTTTAGACATGATACAAGAAGAAATTCAGGTACCTGATAATGAAGAAATTTCAACAAATTACATCATGTCTGGAATTACATGGAACCGAAATCAAATCGACATCGATGATGTTTTTGCATGCAATGTAGCATTAGATGTTATGGATAATAATGAGGATCATAAACCAAAATCCATTGAAGAATGTAGATAAAGAAATGATTGGCCAAAATGGAAAGAAGCAATTGAAGCAGAATTAAAATCACTTGGAAAAAAAGAAGTATTCGGACCTGTAGATGTAAACCCAATGGGATATAAATGGGTCTTTGTGCGAAAGAGAAATGAAAAGGGTGAAGTTGTAAGATATAAGGCACGCTTAGTTGCACAAGGATTCTCACAAATACCTGGTATTGATTATGAGAAGACATATTCTCTTGTGGTGGATGCAACTACTTTTAGATTTTTTATTAGTCCATGTATTTTTATAAAGAAATTTGGATTGGGATTTGTTATTATTACAGTGTATGTTGATGATTTGAATATCATTAGAACTCCTCACTGGCAATTATTTAAAGAAAGAGTTCGAAATAAAAGATCTAGGAAAGACAAAATTCTGCTTGGAGTTACAAATAGAGCACCTAGAGAATGAAAAACCTTGTGCATCAATCAACATACATAGATAAGGTTCTTAAAAGATTTTCTATGGATGCAGCCCTATGGTTGTAAGATCACTTGAAATAGAGAAAGATTCGTTCCGACCTCGAGAAAATGATGAAGAAATTCTTGGTCCTGAAATATCGTATCTTAGTGCAATTGGAGCAATAATATACCTTGCAAGTCATACACGACCCGACATATCATTTTCAATTAATTTATTAGCAAGGTTTAATTTATGTCCAACCCGAAGGCATTGGAATGGGATTAAACATTTACTTCTTTACCTTCAAGGTACGAAGCATATGGGTTTATTTTTCCCAAAATTGTCCAAAGAAAATTTGATTGATTTTGCAGATGCTATCTGATCCTCATAATGGTCAATCACAAACTGGATATGTATTCACATATGGTGAAACTACCATTTATTGGCGTTCCATGAAACAAACCATTGCAGCTACTTATTCCAATCATTTTGAGATTTTAGCAATTCACGAGATTAGTCATGAATGTGTATGGTTAAGGTCGGTAGTTCAACATATAAAAGAAGTTTGTGGTTTATCATCTGGGAAAGAGGCACCAACAACTTTATATGAGGATAACGCAGCTTGTATTGTTGAACTTAAGGAAGGATACATCAAAGGCGACAGAACAAAGCACATCTTACCCAAATTTTTCTTCACTCATGATTTTCAGAAGAATGGAGATATAAATGTATTGCAGATTCGTTCAAGTGAGAATGTAGCAGACTTATTTAATAAGGCTCTTCCAATACCAACATTCAACAAGTTAGCTTACGGCATTGGATTGCGTCCTCTTAAAAATCTCAAGTGATGTAGTGATGAGGGGGAGTTAATGCGCGCTGCACTCTTTTTTCCTTAACCGTGGATTTTTCCCACTAGGTTTTCCCGGTAAGGTTTTTAACGAGGTAGCATCTTATGCGCATTATAGTATATTATTTTGTACAGGTTTTATAGTAAATGTTAGTTATTGTTTTATTCAATATATTGACATCCAAGGGGGGAGTGTTATGAAAATATCTAAATATGGATGACTATTATCCCATGTATTATCTAGAATACTCTATAGTTGGGTATTTAAAGTCTACCAAAATATATACAAATACACTACGAATAATATTCAAAACAAATTAAAAAAAGAAAAAGGAAAAACCTGATTGGAACGGCGAATAGCCTGAGCTTCAGAACGCTTATTGAGATTCGCTGTAAAACGAAACCGACGCTTTGGATTCTTGACCAACCAGCAAACACTTCGCCATCTTCGAAGTGCTTCTTCAGACGAATTCTTTGCTTTCACTTCCACAAACTCTTCATCTAGTAAACTCTCCATCTTCAACTTCAAATCAAATCAAATCAAATCAAAAACCTAATTCAAACTAAAAAAATCAAACCTCAAAATCACTGGAAAACAACGATTTAATCTTCAATGTTATAATCAACAAGTAGCTGAAGTTTATTTTACTTAAGTCAACGCTAAAGAACAAATCAATGGAGAAATTTCTGATGAGATAGTGAGTGGTGGTAGGTTGATATAGATACTGATGGATTGTTACGGCAGCTGATATGGAATGGAAGTAGAGAGTGTCTGAAAGTGAAAAAGTAAATTGTTTACAAGTGGGAAGTTAGGGAGTTTATGGTATTGTATTGTAATAAAGGAATAATAATTTAATTTCGTTGATTGATTTAAGTGAAGAACGCGGAAAGATTAATTAGAACAGAGGTGCTTTAATTGGAGTGAATGGGAGACATGATTTCCTGCTGTAATGTCATAGGCAGTTGTGTTGGTGGCGTGCGCCCATGTGGTGAGGGCTACTAGGCCCACTACGGGACAAACGGGAACTTCATCGTAACTGCGGTTAGAGCAATTGGGCGTGGTGCGCTTATCGAATTAACTGGGCGTTTGGTATGTTACTCTCTAGCTTTGCTTCAAAGGTTGAAATTGAAAGATAAATATTTAATCTAATCTGAGGGTCTGTTCAGCTTCTAATTTCTTTTTTTTATAAAATATTCATTTTATTTCAGTTCAGATTCCAATTTTCAATTTCCTTCTCTTATAAAATATTCATTTTAGCTCAATTCAACTCTTAATTTACTTCTGTTATAAAATATTCATTTCACTTCAATTCAGTTCAGTTCAGCTCAGCTGATTTCAGTCTATTAGAACAGGCTCTAACTTATACTTTGTTTGGTTATTCCCTCCCCTTTCTTTCCTTCCTTTTTTTGTGTGTCAAAAAACAAATAAGGAAGGAAAGAAAGGGGAGGGAAGAGGAGGAAGGGAAAGGGGAAAGAAAGGGAGGGGAGTGAATTCTAATTTCTCATTAAGGCCTCGTTTGGTTTAACGCATAATATTTTCAATAGAAAATTAGTTTTTATGGAAAATATATTTTCAAGGAAAAACACAATTACAAATTTGTTTTCCTTCGTTTGTGAAGGAAAATGTTTTCCATCATTAAGGATGAAATTTTTCAACCTTGGAAAAATTGTTTTCACCCCTTAACAAACCAAACAAAGGAATTAGAAAAAAACATTTTCCATGAAAACATTTTACATCAAACCAAACGGGGCCTAAATCTCTTCTATTTTAGAGAGATTATGTTTATTAAAGGGAGAGGGAAAATGAATCCCTCCCTATCCTTTCCTTCCCCCAATCCCCTACCCAAACAAGAGAGTTTGGCCCCCTCCCTTTCTCTTCTTTTCCTTTTACTTCCATTTTCTTCTATCCAAACAAAGTATTAGTAAGAAGTATTCAAAACTCATCTAATAAAGGTACATGTCCCCATCCTACTCACTTTTCCATCTTCTCTTTCCAAACAAGTGTGATACGTATTGTTCCAGGTATGGATCCAAGGGTTCTGCTGGGTGAGCTGGGTCTCGTTGACAACCTACACAAGACAACACACGTAAACTGCCCTCGGGGTGGCTCGTGGAACCCCCTTCCGATGCCTAAGTTAGAGAGTGTTTAGAGAGAGAAAGTGTACTTAGAGAGATGTAGAGTGTGTAATAACTTGTGTGTCTAACCTCTTTTCCGTTGTACTTTTCCCTCTATTTATAGGTGTACGATCTCCTTTGTGGAGAGTTTGGCCTGGTCAGCTATGCGAGCTAACTCTACTGGGCTGGTGAGCCCCTCTTAACTGTCCACTCGGCAATGAGTGCGCACCTTGGGAGCTGGGCGATAGTTCAGCGGGAGCTATCCTATACAACTAGCCCCTCAAGATGGTATGAGGTCACTCATGTCGGTTCTTCTTTACGTGGCAAAGCCTTACTATCTGAGCCCAGCTGGAAGGAATAGCTTAGCAAGAGCTATCCCCTACAACTAGCCCCTCAAGAGATGGTATGAGGTCATTCATGCCAACTATTATGAGCGTGTAGCCTTATCGGCCATGGCTCAACGGGTCGTCTGGCCAAATTACCCTACACACTCCTAGCCCCTCTAGTCTCTGGGTTGTTGATGCGATCCGGAGAATTGAGTGATCAGGTCGTAATCTTAGTGATGACTCTATCGTAGTACTGGGTGTTTATGATGGCTCTGTTTCTGTCTGCTCAGCGCACACTTGGTCGCTGCTTGCTAAGATTACAAGGGGAGATTTTGATCACTCTCGCTGAAGTAATTCCCTTGATATAGTTTATGTTATTATTTTTATTTATTATTTATTTATTTTTTTTTGGTGGGAACAACGTTTGCATGAGTGGGACACGTGTCGATCATCCAAGCCTGCAGTTCAGATTTAACCAAAGCGACATGGCGGTTTGGTTTTACTTCATGCCCAACCGCCCATTAACTCCGTATTAAATTCAGTATCCCCACTTTCTTTTTACCTTCCTCATTTTTTTCATCTTCCTCGTCTTCTTTCTTTCATTTCAAATTTCTTACTTTCCTGTGCCCATCCTTAAACGCGCGTTTCTCCTCCATTGTAGTGGTAAGTTCTTGCCTTCTTTTCTTTTGTTCTTAATTGCTTCATTTTTTTGCCATGTTCGCTTTCCTCTTCTTTTCCTTTCTTTTTACTGAATAGCCTTTTTTTTGTTACAACTTGGAGTTTCGCTCCCTGTTTGATTTTTTGGATCGCCATTGTTGTTCTCTGTTGCTTCTGCAACCTTTGTTCTAAAGGTACTAACTTTGTACCTTTTGTTGTATGTACTTACCCAATCACTACCACAAAAAGTGAAAAAAGTAACACTCAATACACAACTGTGAAGTTGGACAAGTATTCTCTAGAGTAATATAGAACGCCTTTGTTTTATACTCTATCAAATAATTAGATTTAATTTTCCAATATATGTTATGTACATTTGTATGAAGCATACTATAACAAAATGATTTTGTTTTTATAAACCTTATGTATAATTTTAAATTTTATACAAAGAATATATGCTACCAAAATGAATTTTCTTTTTTAATTAAAATAAATTTTTTTATCACATGATAAAAGTTGGAGAAATTTTTTTATATAATTATGTAAAATTAAATTTTTTTTACTCGTATGCATTGTTAATCATGCATAAATTTGATATTTAATGGTGAATTGAAACTATATGTAGATAGTATTGTGAATATTGGAATTTTGAAAATATTTTATACTACTTTTCACATTATTTCTGTTTTGTGAATGATATGGTTGATACGGTTTATATATTTACTATGTATACATAATTACTTCCTTTGTTCTTTTTTACTTGACCTGTTTCTTTTATCACGCTTGCTAATGCAAAAATTTAACGATCAATAACTTAAATTCTCCATAAGTAAAAATTATAAAAGTTATATATTATGATAGTATTTATCGAGACGAATCCAAAAAGATCATACATGAATATATTTTTCCTTACATATTATTCACAAAATACGGTCAAAGAAGGGGTGGTGAATAGTGTAAAAGTCAAAGTGGATCAAGTAATAAAAAACGGAGGAAGTATATGATAAGGATATATAAGAATATAATAAAATATAATAATTAAATGAGGAAATAATTATATAATAAAATTAAAATATAATATAATAATTAAGGAAATAATGAAATTGGCGGGAAAAAAAAAGAATGACATTATGCCAAGTGTCATTATAGGTTCGCTTTTAGTATAAGTTAATAGATTGAATTTGTATCATTGAAATGTTCATATATAAATATAGTGAAGAAGAGTATTATTGATAATTTCTTTTATTTCCTTACTTACTTAAGTTACTTCAATTGAAATACCGTAAGATTTATTTTTTTTGTTAATAATAATAATAATAATAATAATAATAATAATAATAATAATAATAATAATAATAATAATAATAATAATAATAATGTTATGTTACCAAAAAAATATTAAGAAATAGAGAACAGTCATCTAACATAGGCGTTCTCTTTTTATATGAATACATAACGCCCAACATACGATAACCGTTCTTTTTACCTTGTTTTTTTTTATTGATTTTGTACATAGAATAGGAAGAAGTTACCTTAGTTAGGCGTTCTTTATTGAAGGGTATACAAAACGCCTTAAAGAGGCGTCTTTTATACTTTATAAGGCACCATAGTTGAAGAACGCCTCTAAGGTGTTCTATATTGCTTATTTTAGGCGTCATGTATTGTCTATTTTGTAATAGTGAAGTTTGCTTCTTTTTGTATTTTTCTTCACAAAATTGAATCTTTTGATTCGTTTGCCCAATTTTACCCCTTTTTTTGTTGTTGTAATTGCGCTCTTGATTCCCTCATTTTATTCCTCCATTGTTCTTGTCTCCATAAACTGATTTTCAATTTTCGGTGCCTCATTGCCTTCTTCTTCCTTTATGTGGGCTTTTTGTCTTTGTAGATTTCATAATGTCTGACGCTTTTGATAGTCAGAACATAAGTGAGCCTCAAGTGGCCACGGAGTCGGATTCTCCTTCTCGATCCTCTCCTTCAGGTGAGCGCCCTGCGCACACTCCTCCTATTTCTCTTTCTTCTTCCTCCACTCCTATACAAATGGTTATGCCCTTTGATTGTCGCCCTGCTGCGAGCCGCACGGGTACTGTTGTGACTCCTACTGCTGCATCTGAGTCAGGCAGTAGTCGTCTTACTGAGGGTAGTGCTTTTCACCCTTTTCGGCGGGAGCCTCTTCCTGACTCTTTGGTCCTTATTGCGAGCAGGTGCTTGTTAAGGATGGGATTCCTTTGTCCCATCTAACCCGTTTAAGGATGCGCGCAATGCGCCATAAAATGTTAGCTAACGCTGTCAAGGCTAATCCCCCTGATGTGTCTCTTGTTAGCCCCATTCCCCATGTTTAGCCTTTAAATAGTTTTGCTTGGCATGATGACATGGCTGATGTGAATCGGTTTGACCATTATGTAGTACGGAGTGGCAGTGCTGCGACTTTATCACCATCTCATTCTCCAGCCGTTAACTCAAGAAGAATGACTGAGTCTCCTGGTGACCGCGCTTTTTACGACTGCCAGCCCACTTACGTTGTGGAACCTATAGAGGAGGGAAAAACCGATTTCTTTTTGGATGACAAGTGCTACGGGCCAAAGAACTGTGTTCTAGATTCCAACTGGCATAAGGACACCAGGAAGTTGAACCTTGCTTCTGTGGGATAGAAGTTTTATGGTTTTGGTGAGGGTTATAAGCTTGTTTTGCCTGCTGAGGGTGCGAAGCTGTCTGCTCCCCCTGCTGGTCATATTGCGGTGTTCGCTTCTAATATGTCCAATTTATATAGTGTTTTACTCCCGTCCCATGGTCATAATTAGTGGTGTTTTTGACTCTTTAGAGCCACTTTTATTACTAATTTGTGTTTTATAGTGTTTTTGTAGTTTTCCTTGAGTTTTGTAGGAATTTGCACACTTGGAGCGTTTTCCGGGTTTTTCACGAAGCAACTACGAGCATTAGGAGGACACGACCGTTTTTGAAGCCCAGGACCGGTGAGAGCCGGTGACTAAGGGCTATTGCGGTGTTTGCTTCTGATATGTCCAATT